TATTGTTACTTTCTATATTATTTATTTGAATGTTTTATTGTGTTATTATTATTACTATAAATATATATATAGTTATACACACACATATAGGAAACACTGGTGTTCTGTATACTGTATATTAAATGTTTGTATACATATAAATACTATTTTTATTTTGGTAATATATTTTATTGTTACTTTCTATATTATTTATTTGAATGTTTTATTGTGTTATTATTATTACTATAAATATATATATAGTTATACACACATATAGGAAACACTGGTGTGAAATGTGCATTATTTCAGCACTGTATTGCAACGCCAAGAGTGATTGTAAGACCTCTATCTCCAGTTTGTTTTTCCATCCTGAAGATTAGAGGCTGGGAAAGGGCTCACGGAGAAAGCAAACCTGTGCTTTAGATAAATCCCTTGCTCAGCTCCTGATTAAGACATCTCATCGTCCACCCAGTGCCAGAGCCAGAGCCAGAATGAAATAAATAAAAACCCCACACATGTTGCGTTCATGGCTGCAGCCTTGGGGCAGTTGTGCACGCTTTGCCAGGGTAACTTTAATTGCTATTGTTCGTATCCAGAACAGGCCACTAAGCCCCGTATACACAGGTCAACCAATAATGATGACACCTCAATCACGTCTGCAGATTGCACTGAGTAAGCACCTCCTGTTTTTTTTCCCTAACGAGGTTTCCGTGCGAATATGCTAATCCCACGGCACGTCTGTCCGGCAAGCACGTAATCGTTTTATTATACCCCGAGAAACCTCGCTGAGATATTTGAGTAGGAGTCAGGCTTCCATGACTCTCTCCTTCTCCTGAACCTATTACGGATGCACTGGCCCTGACAATTGAGGGAGCGAGAGACAGGCCAGGCCAGAGGAGAGAGGGACAGGAAGGTGTAGAAAGCCAAGAGAGGGAAAAAAGATGGAGGTGGGGGAGGCAGAGGAATGAAGTGGAGTGTGGCAGTACCTCGGTATCTACATAAAAGAGATTAGAGTCGACAGGGTTCCATTTTACAGCTCAATCATATTGTGTTAGCACACGCTTATCCGCGTGCCAGTGAAAATTGAAAGGGAAATAAAGAAAGAGAGAAAGTCCCTGAGATAGGACCAAGAATGGGAGAAGCCCGAGCAATTTCAGCCTGCATAAAGGGCCTGTAATAGTGAGGGTCCTGTCATGCTAAAAAGCCAGCGACGGTCCGTTCACCGGCCATTCTTGTAGCTCGCTCGTCAAGTCAAGTGCGACCGCCCTCCATTGTGTGCCGCTGTGTTACGATAAGGCATGTCACAACCGTATGACAGCACGTTTTCATTTATTTGGATTTCTCCCGGTTGGCGCGAGGGGACTATTTACAGATAAAAGTACAGGTTTTTGGTTCCCACCTTGTTCTGCTACAAATGTTTGCTCTTTACTCTCCCCCCATGCAGATTGTATGCAAAAATAAAAATTACAGCCTGAATTTAACACAGTTTCTTCTTGGCCGGTGTGAGGGGACACTAATTCTATTTACAGATGAAAGTAGTTTTTTTTCCCGCACCCGCTTTTTCAGCTACAAACGTTTGCTCTTTCCCCTCCCCACGTGCGGCTTAAATGCTAAAATAAAATTACAGCCTGAATGCTTTAATCTCGCAAATGAGATTCCTCACCCTAATCCACATTATGTCATTTTCTGCCTTTTTCCTCCCTCATATTGAGTTAATATCACATTTCCAAATCCTTCCGTCTTCCATAATGCCAGGCTTACAGGAACGCGTGACGCCAGGGTTTTGTTCAGACACCCTCTCTCGTCGTGTGTTTGTAAACCATATCGAATGTTTTCATGGCCTATGTGAGCATGTAAATGATCAGAGGAGGGAGAAGGGGAGAACTATTAAAAAAGCAATCAGAAAGGAGCGTCCGTGTCTGCGCCGCCAGCGGAGGGAGCTGCCGTCGAGGCGTCTTTAACTCTATTCCGCAAAACACAGACTGCTTCATTATCCGCCAGCTCTCCGCAGCGGCAGCTCCAGTAATACTGAGTGATGTTTAAATTAGTTTACAATTTGCCTGCTCTTCGCCTAGGACAGATCGTAAGCGAAGGCGCTCAGAAATGTCAGCGGCGCTCCTAACCACCGTAACAAATTGTTGCCCGTACGCTGCACACCTAATGACTTCAAATTAGCTTCTGTGCGAGAGGCTGACAGTTTGTTACGTCTGTTAGCAACATAGCCGCCGTATCATGAGCCATAAATTGGTTTGGGCTCTCGGGGAGAATGGAGGCCTTCATCAATTTGATTAAAAAAAATTACTGTACCATAGAAACCGTACAGATAAACTAGTCTGAAAAGAGAGGAATGCGCACATGGAGCTGTGGCGGAGGGTTAGGGGAGGCTAACAGGAGGCCTTGCGTGTCTGTCTGATTGTGTGAGGGTAAATATATAATTGAAAAAAAAAAAGTCATGAGTAGGAATGGAACTTTCTACTGTATCTCGCACTTTTCTTTGGAAATTTTCATCAGGTTACAGTAGCAATCGGAGCGCAAGGAGCAGGAGGAGATGAGAGCCGCAGGAATACCTGCTCCGGAGATGAGGGGGCTCCTTCCTCTTCAAACAGACACAGAATTGCCTGCCGAGGTCTAATCATACAATCATCTCTCTTCTGCTGAGCAATCGTTCATAGAATGTGAACTCTGACGCCAAATGTACACTGCCAATCGAGAGACTCCTCTGTTTGCTTTCTGAACAGACGCGGCCTATGAAGAGAACTAACACTGCGCAGGAAAAAAAAAAGCTATGAATGTGCAAATGCATAGAGTGTGCAGAAGTTCATATACAGACTGAAACAGAACGGACACTTCTTAGCCTGAAAAATAAATGACAGGAAAACTCATACATTCTGTATGGTATATTGTACTGTGCTGTGCTATAAAAGAATGATTTTTGTTTTGTTGCCATAACTGCCAATGACAAATGAACTGAGAAAATGTAGTCCTTAATATTTTGTGCAAAAACTGTATTTTGCATTATTGTTTTAATAGAAATGTCTAGATACACTTATTCCTATACTGATTACTATAAAACTTAAAGTTCACAAAACTGGCTTGACGAGCTTAATTTATTGAGCCTGAATAATAGCCACTAGATTGCACCACACTATACAGTAGTATATTATTATTATTATATTAATAGTATATAAACACTATATATACACCTTTCGAAACATCATAAATGTTTTACTGCCACTTTTAATCACTTTAATCCATCCTTACTGAATAATAATAATTAAAAAATCGAAGCGTAGTGTCATTACACTACAGTATACACTACAGTATAGTCTGGTATACTATACTATAGCCTACATAAAAGTGCCACATTCCAGAAGCTCCAGCGGTGTGGCTTCCAGCACACAGGGAAAATCCCATTAAATCCACAGGGCAAGTCTGGGTCAATCTGGCATGGAGCAGCAGAAATAACCTCACAATCCTGCATCTAGTGCCTGGCAGGAAATTGGCACTCTGATGAGCTTTAAGCCTGTTGTATGGCTTGTGTGGCACTATTGCCCTGGGCCAGTATTAGCACAGTCATATCTACAGCACAAAGGGAACTACAACACAACTTCCTGTGCAGCTAATCAAGGTGCTATCATGTTTTGGTTAAAAGGCTGGATTCTTTTGTAGGTAAAAGTGGTTTAATAAATCTCATAAAAGAATCTGGGCATGTGAGTATGTTCACATGGCGTGAAACTACCACTCTTTCTCCTTTCTTTCTAAGGTAACCACTCTTACTATTGTCTGATTTCAGAGCTTTCTTTCTCTTCACCTCATTTTTTCTCTCGCTCCAGAGTCAGTCACCTATGGGAAGCTCTTTTCAAACAGTGAGGGATGAAGTGGGCCGCCACTCTCTGTGACCAGGGCCGGCTCAGATTAAATGCAAAAGAAGGGCTTTGTTAAGCAGATTACTGGAAACTCCTCATTCTGTCTTGTGGAGATGGGCAATAAGCAGCAGTAGAAAGAGAGAGAGAGAGAGGAGGGGAGGACACTTCAATCATGGTCAGTCATGCCATTATCGTTCATGGCTAATGTCAAGAATCCTTTCAACAAGGCTGCTGATTGGCTGAAACAGCAGGCGAAAATGCCTCCCCTCCGCTCCTATGGATATCGTGCTATACTGAGGAAGGAATTAAGCTAAAACTAAACAAATTGATCCCTGTCCGCTGTCACGTAGGGTGGAAAAATGCTGACCTAAGGACTGTGCCACTGGTGGCCTGGGTGATGGCAAATGTCCTTGATTGACAAGGCACAGCTTTGTTTGTTTCAGCATAGTGTTTCAGCTCCTGCTGAAAACAGCAATTACTCAAACGTGCTTTACTTAGTTTTTTTCCTTCAGTTTTTGCAAATACAGTGGAATACAACATTCTGAGACTACATTGGTTTATTTTCAGGTTTAAATGTAATTTAAATCCGAAAATAAATAAACGGCTTTAGGATGCAGAAAAATATAAAACAAAGAAAATATATGATAAATAAATATGTTAAGTGTTTTATATTATCTATCTATCTAAATATATAATCTATATTTCTATAAATAAGAACATATATATATTTAAAAAAAAATGTTTTTTGCTTTCAAGAATCACAAGATGATATTTGGATCATTCTCAAATCATGCTGGATAACTGCGATGGCAAACAAAAACGAATAAATTCTGAAATTAATTTAATATTTCAGTTAACTTATTCACTCACTGTAATGCTGATAATGTAATTTGTGATGGAATAGAAGCTTTTCTTTTGGAATTAATAGAAACATTTTCAGACTTCGGGACCCCAATGTATTATTGAGCTACTTTCTTTTTTGTTCTAACATTTTTCAACAAAAAGAAAGTTAGATATTTAATATCGTATGTAACCTTTTAAAATATTTTCAAACTTGTATAAAATAACTGGCTTACGTCAGAACATCCAATCCACGGTTCACACTGAGAGTTTACCTGTAGTTGCATATAATCTGTATCTCTGCTCATGTCCTACCTGGGATATGCTTGGCCCAGCCAATGTTGACCACCAGTTCCCTGTCCGCCAGGTCGCAGAGCGTGGTCAGGGCTTTGATGTCGCTGTCGGGCACTGTGGGGTCAGGCATGGCGTAGATCTTCTCAGGCTCCGCCACCAGCAAGTGAGACACAATCTTGTTATCTGCAAGGCAGCCAAAGGGGACTGTATTTGAACACCGAGGGGAGAACAAAGAAACAGATTGGGATTATACCAGCAAGGTCATATAGTGTTTGGTTCAGTAGCAAAGAAAGCAATCAGATAACATGAAATATTGGCAGAGTTGTTTTCTTTGGGCAGAAAGATGATGTTTGTGGTACTGAAAAAGCTGTTTTTGGTCTATGAATCAATGCCTGGTGTCATATGTAATCGAAAATAAAAGTATTTTTGGTTTCTTGTTTATATGTTAGGAGAGAGTTTGATGGTGTAGAGCAGTGGTTCTTAACCTGTTTTGCTTCAATACCCAGTTTTTTGTTGTTTTTTGCCCATCAAAATATATTTTTGATGGGCAAATATATTTTTGATGGGTTTATATTTGGGAAAATGTATATGATATAAATACATATTTATATTATATAAAAATATTTACAATTTGTGATTTTTAGCAATGGGGGCTTTTAATGTTGGCCAAATGAAACTGCACTGCAATAAATAAATTAAAATAATTAAAAATTAAAATACATAGTAGGCCGTGACCTACCAGGTTGAGAACTACTGCTGTAGAAAACGAGATTTTTTTCAAATTCAAATCCATTTGATTCTCATTGTGGCTTACGCTGAATTGTGTATATAAAGATTTGTGTTCGGGGTATTCTGTCAATCTAATGAAAGAAAGGACACACATTTCAGATCAGATTGCGGTGGTGAGGGAGATTGGAATAGGTAATTAGCGACACCCTTACAGTTAAATGAAATTCATTTGCTGTTTAATCATCTATGTCAATGCAATATGATAGACAGACAGAAGCCAAATACAGCACTGCAATCTTTGTGTGCATATCTGTGTGTTTGCAAGGCCCAGATGAATCACTTTAAGCCCATTGCATCTGTGTTTGAGGTCCGAGGACAAAACGGATCACTAAATTAAAAAGCATTAACTTCTGAGGTGTGTGTGTGTTGGAGGAGGGGAAGAAATGGATCAATCAGCCCAGCCCTGCTACTCCAGGGAGTGGGGGAGCCTGTAAGTGCTATCTCTAGGTAAATCTTATTTAATGTTTCCCTAATTAGAATCAATGCAACCCAATTTCCAAACCCCATCCCTTTGTTATGTGCAAATAATCAATCAGGTAGGCTGGGACCATAGCTATTCCTCTCTGTTTGTGAAAATAGAGAAAGAGATAGAAAGGAAAGTGAGAAAAGATACAAAGAGCTCAGAGACAGACTGATAAAAGCCTCTATTAATGGGACACTGCACTAAAATACGACGCCTCAAAAAAACAGAAAATTTGTCTGTACGCCCATGCAAGGGTGGACGTCTTCTGGATTAACAGCTGATAAAAAGCCATCAGTGGGGATTTATGTTAGAAAAAAAAAAATTTTAATCCATAATTTAATTTAGACCTAAGCGAAGGCAAGTCTTAAACTTGGAAATGCCCCCAAACAGCTATTTTCTGTGTAGGTAATGGGTAAAAACCAAATAAATCTTCAAAATTGTTTCAAAACATATTTCAAAAGAGCAATAAATTATGATAACATTGGTAATATAAATGCAGCTTATTTAGCTCCAAAAATGTTCATTCTAGATTAAACAAACTTGAATTAAAAATGTCTCTTTCAACTGAAAAGCGGGAAGAACGACAAATTGAGAGATTCATCCTGTTTATTTTTCTATGAGTGGCCCGTCTCCTCCCCATTATACTGTCTCTGAGCAAAGTCCACATCTTGCTAACATACAATAGCAAGGGGTAAAAATTGAAGTAATGAAAGTGGATGGGAGCTGGACATAGGACAGAGAATAAGCTTTCAAATAAGTTGCTCTCGGTGGCTGGAAATAAGCCTGAACCTGGAAGGAGGGATCAGTAGGATTAGGCAGAAGGTTATTCAGAGCGCTGTATTCCTAAAATGATTTCTACCACTGTAATAATTAAGATTATTTCCGCTGCTATCATGCATAAAAGCATATTGTATTCCAGGAGAATATGCTACCATTAAGTAAAAAGGCTTTAGGGACAAATCTGTTAAGCGCTGCCGTGCTGTCTCTTTGCAGAGCAGTCTGACAGCGCGGAAGCTCCGGTATTGTGGGTTTGATGTCTTTGCCAGATTGGATTTAATCCGGATTAGGCCTCTCTCTCCTTCTCGTGCTCGTTCGCTCTCCCCTAACACACACACGCACACAAACATCTTTGTCGATTGGCTCTGTCATATACTACATCTCTGTCTTTCTTGTTTTGAGTCCAATTTCCTGGTGCATTGGAAATAAGGAAGGCCACTGTAAGGTGACATTGAGATAATAGAGAAAGATACTGTATTTTATCTTTTTTTAAATATATTAAATATATAAACTGAAAAGGTGGTTCACTCAAAAATGAAAACTGTTTACTCACAAAAGAAATTATTTTAAATATGAAGAATGTCTGACCTGTTTTTGTCCATATAATGAAAGTTAATGGGGTCCAAAACAACACTGACTGGACCCCATTGCCTTTCACTGTATGGGGAAAAATATATAGATGGGTAGATGGGTAAATGGATTGATAGGGGGATAGATAGAAAGAAAGAAAGATAGATAGATAGATAGATAGATAGATAGATAGATAGATAGATAGATAGATAGATAGATAGATAGATAGATAGATAGATAGATAGATAGATAGATAGATAGATAGATAGATAGTTTTTTGTTTTCTGCAGAAGAAAGTAAGTCATACAGGTTTGGAACAACACAGGATGAGTAAATAATGACAATTTTAATTTTTGGGTCAACTATCCCTTACATTAACACTTTTATTTTTTACATTTAAAATATGATGATAGTATGGCTTAAATACGTGTGTGTATGTGTGTGAGAACACAAATCCCTTCTTTAAAAAAAATATAAGAAAAAATCTCTTTATAAATGTGAAGACATTTAATGCACACAATGCAGTTCTTACATGGCTTTTTGGCCGGCAGAGCCAGTTGAGGGTTCAAATAGGGGCTGTTTTCCGCATCTATCCGGCGTTTGTACTTCTGTCTTCCGCCGCGCACACGGTCCAGTCGAACACCTGATGTAAAGGAGGAGACAAGAAAAAAGGCAACATTTACTTTCACACATTATTTTATCACAAACACAACCTCTTCAATAAAGCAGGCAGATAACGTGCGCTGTCACTTTAAAAGCACTGCGAGTGGAGAAGGCCGCTGTGAGCCAGCCATAAACGGCACGGCAGCTGTCAGTGGCCATTTCAGGGATGTGGACAGGAGATGACCAGCTGCTGACAGACAGGGGCACAGTCACTCTCTCCATGTGACATCCGGACACGCACCTGCCCATCTCCCGCTCGTGGCATGTGTGCATCTTTAGAGCACTCAAGTCACAACAGAATAACAGGTAAACACCAGAGAGCCATTTTTGTGGCGTTAACGGTTAACGCACATCTTCAAAAGTGTTGGTGACAACAATTACAGGAGACGTTAACACTCAAGAGTGCAGGAGCGTTCAAGTACTCAAGTACTCTTGTGAAGCACCTCACCGCGTCTTTAAAGGCTGTCCTATTCTCCTTCATTATTTAAAACTCTCGTCGATATTTTTCCCACACAAAGAGCGCAAATAAAGTGTGATGGGGGTAATTTATTGAGGTGCCACGGTTGTGAAAACATTCTGAATCCATCCATCGCGACCTGCAATTCTGATGAGTGCAGAGCCTTAAAGACCTGTCCCTGCTTTTAATTAATTGACATACAAAAGAGCCTTAATTTAATTATGCAAACCTCTCTAGGGGATGGGCAGTTTCCGTGGAAACCACTTAAAGGTGGCCTAGGACCCTTTTCATGTTGCATGCTGGAGAGGAACGGAATGGACATGAAGGCCCAGTGGGCCAGCCCTCTTTTCACAATTAAAACACTAGAATTCTCGTTTATCCGAATGGCGCTCAATCGGCACCTCCGCTGGGCTTTCAAGGCCTGACACTCTGAATAATTTAACAATGAGATGCACCTGTCTCACATTGAAGATCATTGACTGAAATTTTGAAGTGCCGCTTATGGGTTTTACGTATATTTTAGCTCAATGAAATGTGAATCCATTGATTTCAATTAGGATGGTGAAGGTTTTCTCCCCAGTATTTAGATATTTTTTTTCCAATGGGAGATTCTTCAAATTTGAACCCAAACCAAATGTCAGGTTACATCCTTGCTGACAATCCATCGAAACTAAGTGAAAAGCTAATTCATACATTTAACTCTATTCCATTTATATGGCCAATATGCCTTGTATAATTTATAAAATTATTAATATTAATAAAATAAAAGTATTGCCATATTGTACAGACCATAGCCATATTATTTCTTCCAATAGATCAGTGTTGCACTGTGATTGCACCAAACACACGAGCGTATTTTGAGATGGCGTGATAATGAGTGTTAATTAACTTTGACCCTGGCTGGTTGTTGATTATGTGACATTGTACTGCAGGACAAAAGCGGATCCGTGACCCTGTTTGCTCACATTTCCACGAAGGAACGCACGTCCCACAGGCTTCGTTTTACATGAGAACGGCGGTCTTAAAAAGATGTCACATTGCTAGCATAACCTTCTCGATGCCAGCACCCGAAATATGCAACAACACACGACTCTCACATGTTGACAGCCTCTCATCTTAACAAGACCGACCCCCCAGCCAGAAACCGGATCCTGCTCTTTTCCGGGTGCTTGGACTGCAGGGTTTATTGGGCTAATTCACTGCTACAGACATGCTTGTAATGGCATCACCTGCAGTCCCGTACGGCATCTTATATCCCGCTCCGCCATGAAACCTGCATTTTCCATCCCGATTAATGCGGGTCAGATATAGCTCTTTTACTAGCCTGATTGGTTGACTTTTCCTGGTTCAAGAACAAGAAGTATGTATAACTATAAAGTTTTGTGTCCAAGCTCATCATCTTTGTAGGCCTGCACTGGAAATAGATGAGGAATTAATGCAGCACAACCCTAAAAGAAGCTGTCTATTATTAGTAGAGCCTCCCTCATTGCTGAAGGAGAATCGTTCAAGGATTAACATGCTCAAAACAAACAACATTGGAATAAGTTACCCCTTGTAACTGATTTGCAGCCAGCTTTGTGGCTTCTCTTATATGGTTAAGATTAAGATGTGGCTACAGGATGCCGACCCGGGGGCGATCGCTACCCTCCACAAACGGCGAGAGTGGCTTTACACCATCGGGGTACATCCGTCTGCTGATAGACCTTCTATCGCCACATGACTGTAAAGCAAGCAGGCGCCTGGCAGCACATGATGCTCCGCTGGGTCGGGTTTCACACAGGCCCATATACAAAGAGCTGCTGATTGTTTGTTTGATGGCGTATCTATGGGTCCATGTGGAATGATCTTGATGAATTACATTGCTTCATGGGATGTACATGGCAAAAACCACTCAGATGTTACAGTCTCAAAACAGACCAAATAGCTCTTACTGTTCAGTTTATGTGAATGTTATGGGTTTACTTAAAAGGATGACAAGTCAATAAGAGTTCATTTAAAGGGACAGTTCAACCTCCAAAATAAAATAAATACAATTCTGTCATAATTTACTCACTCTTATGTCTTTTGAAATATGTAGGACTTTTTTCTTCTGTGGAACACGGAAGGAGATCTATAGCAGATTGTCCAAGCTGCCCTTTTCCATACTCTGAAAGTAAATGGGGACTGGAGCTTCAAGGTAAGATTTTCTATTGATAATGACTTAATTTTTAGCCATTTGCAGACACAAAGCTATCATTTGCCTTCAAAGAGTGTATCAGAAGAATATAACCTTTTGTGATTTTGTTTTTGTTCTTTTTGGAGATTGACCGCACCAGTCCCCATCCACTTTCATTGTACTGAAAAGACAAGCATGGACCTTTTAAAAATGATTCCTTTTATGTTCCGCTGAAGAAATAAATTGATGCAGGTATTGGACGGCATGAGGGTGAGCATAGACAGAACTAAATTTTTTTGTGTGAACTGTCCCTTTAAATAAGAGGCTCCTTTAAATGACAGAAAATTATGCACTATAATTTATTCATAATACTTTTTTTTTTTAAATGTTCCTCTGCTAACAGCATGAAGTTCACAAATAATATTATTTGTATGTTCTGTGACTTCTGATTAACTTCATACATTAGTACTAATGTGGACAATGACATGAAATGCTGGTAAAGATTTTCGCAGGAAATGGCTCAGATTTCAAGCAAGCATTCAGAACAAAAGGAGGTGGAGAAAGATGATTTCATTTCATACTGTTGGAAATGCCCAGTAGATAACAAGATTTTACTGTTTTAATTAAGATGACAAATAGACTAGTTGCTTCATGGTGAAATCCCTTTTCCCTCGTTTTAAATTATCCTACTATCCTCTCCGCACATCCCCCTACATTTTTATTAGGACCCACAGATGACCGTAAACTTCTTACAAGGCTTGTTTTGAATTTCATAGGTGGCGTGGAATCCTGCAAGGCGTCTGCAGAAATTTACGGGAAAGTGTGAGAGAAACAATCAAACTGGCAGCAATGTGTGCCACTTTAAAAAAAGACTAATTAATCAGACGTGCCCAGAGAATTCTGATGTCTCGAACTTACGTCATTATATTACACCTATTCTTGTTTAGTAGTCAACAGCATGCGTGCAGACACACTAAAGAGGCAAGGAGACTTTTGTTTTGGCCAAGGCTGATGAAGGAACTGAAGAGTGAATACGGCAGCCAAATTTCTCACAGCTGACACGCATAAACACTACGCCGCGTCCACTCAACAAAGGCTTAAGTGTTCACAGGAACGTCAAACGTGTGCTGATAGTTCAGTTTCTTTTTACAGGTGATATGCATCACAAGAGTATAGCTTGCTCTTTGATGAATATATATAGGAACAAGCACTTAACCAGCTAAATCTAGCTACCAGAATAGATCTTCCATCAACAGTATGTCTACAATGAAAATGAGACATTGACCAAAGCAAACATGAGAAGGAGAGAATGTTGATCTGATTTACTTGCTACAATTATTGTGGACAACATTGTAGTCCAGAAAAAACACTCTACTATTGTGTCCTTTAGTATATGAATTATTGATATCTTTTAATAGTAGCAATAATGCTTATCATAGTCCAAAATTAATACCACACATGCCAATGGTTGGAGAAAATTACAGACTATAAATAATTCCTTATCTGCTATGTACTTGTTTTGGCTACAAAACACTATGAATATTTCACATATGTTTTTTATGTTTCTGAGGGTAATTTTTTATAAAGTAAAGGTCAATACTATGTTCATGTCACAACAGATATTTTCTAATTCAGATATTTTCTTCTGTTTCGTCATCTCTGAATCATTGTGTACGTTTGCAATATTCAGTGTGTCACTCTTACAACTTCAATTAAACCATGCACTAAGTTCCAGTTCCTTGAGAAGGTACTATCAACTGGTAACTCTGCACTATTTATTTGCCAAATAAAGAAGCATATTTAAAGCTCCTCTTCTCTAAAAAAAGCATATTTAACAGTCGTTAGGCACTGACAGAAATGAACAGTGTAAAAGTACCAGAATATACTAAGCTCCCAAACTCCATTCAAATGTTCACCATAACTCTTTCTCGTGTAAAGTAGATATTCTAAAAGCATTGCGATAAGAAAATGACAACCCAGCTTCATTCACATATTCTTGCTGGTTCACTTTAGCTAAATCCAAGGGGGACCAAATTGTTTTAGTCAAAGTCAGCAGCCCTATTCCACCGAAGCACACATCCTCCAGTCTATTCCATTAATGCTGTGAGCTTTTATGTGGAAATAACTGTGGCCTATGGCAAAGGGCAAAACAAAGCGTGTCCCGTGTGCTGAGGCCAGCCCAGCAAGCAGGACACCCCATTCTGAGAAAAAGAGCGAATCCCAATTGCAAACGGCCGAGTTTACACACTAGATGCAAATGGGCCTCGGACAAATGAACATGGAAAAGCAACAGGACTGCTGGTTGCCAGATCCCCTGAGATCTACAGGAATGAATTATTAAATCTTCACCGGGACGATGAGAGAGAGA